GTAGTGTCTCTCTCTCCCCCTCTCTCTACCTGTAGTGTCTCTCTCTCCCCCTCTCTCTACCTGTAGTGTCTCTCTCTCCCCCTCTCTCTACCTGTAGTGTCTCTCTCTCTCCCCCTCTCTCTACCTGTAGTCTCTCTCTCTCCCCCTCTCTCTACCTGTAGTGTCTCTCTCTCCTTAAGTTCTCCTGTCATCACTCCTGTAAGCTGCCGCTAACCCTGAGATTCAGCCAGTAGGTCCTGCCTTTGACCAGAGCCCTCAGAGATGCTTCATTGCCTTGTGGGAGTGGGACAGGAAGACTGCCAGTCTATTGGCTGTGGACTTGGGTGACTCTGTCGTAGAGATATATCTCAGCATGCCCTGGGTTCGTTCCTGCAAATTTGCTTCTCACAGCATTCAGGGGTCAAGCCTCTTTTTGAACCTGTAATCGATTGTTGTTGCCGTGGTTTCTGGGGTAGAAGTGCAGGCGCGTGTGAATCAGGATTGTGTGGGAGCAGACCAGCGATGAGTCGCTGCACCCAGTGAGGTTTTGAGGTGTTCCTGGCCCAGCGCTGGCCCGTGCTGTCTGGGTCTCCCTAGTCTGTAGGTCTGGGACTTCCTGCCACCGACTGTCGCTCCCAGACAGGACGTCATCTGCACTTGACTGTGTATGAGTGGGACTGACCCACTTCCTGTTGCTCTCGTCTCCTGCAGCAAAAGAAGACCTACCTGGAGCGCAGCGTCAAGGAGGCAGAAGTCCAGGAGGGCTCAGTGACGACCACACACACACACACGTGCGAGCAGGGCACCCTCACCGACGTCATCCCACAGCAGCTGGACTATGCATCAGTGCCCATGTTTTTGCTCGCTCTGAGCTCCCTGCCAGACAGTCCACATATTTGGAGTTGGGAGGGAGCAAAAACGTGGACTGTCTGAGGTCCGGATTAGGATGCACCGCAGTAGAGGTGTGATATTACCCACAGAGTGCGCGTGAAGTGGATTGTCCCAGCCGGTCATTTCCATACACCTCACAGTCTCTGAATACCAAGCGGACTTTCTGATGGGGGGGGGGCTGGTGCTCCCTCACTGTGCCACTTTTGTTTTATTATATTGTTCAACCAAATATTTATGTACATGGAAATAAAGTTTGGTTCAAAGCTGCCTTCAGTCTGTCAGACGTGTTGGTGATTGATTTGATCTGAAACGATTTTTGTTTATCGGGTTTCCATTGCTGTTTTGGTTGTGTTTGGCACTTAATATAGAGAACCCGGTCGGGGGGGATTCCTCCATCTGCGTCAGGTGACCAGGCCCCGCTGACGCGATCTAACTTCACTTCCTCCGGATGGTTTTCCTGTGTTCATTCATGCCGCATCTCTGCATGAGGTCACCGCAGCGGGGAAGTTTGTGCGTTGTCCACCGCAGGGGAGAGAGTGTGTGAAGGGTGTTAAGTTAGCTGGCAACAGGGGGCGCCGCTGATTGGGGGGGGGGGCAGCTAGTGGACGCTGAAAGTATCCTGTCTGTGCAGCATCCTCCAGCTGACGTGGAGTCACTCACGTGTCCTGTTTCCAATGCAGCTCTTCTAAAGTTTGTTTTCCGCCGTTTTTAATTTGTTCCAGGGCATCTACGATCCGGCACCTCTGACGTTGCAGCAAATAAAACAATCTGAGATACTGTAATAAATGCAAATTGAACTAAAAAATACAACGCAATCGATTTTATAAATACGTGTGATTGTTTTTGACATTCATCCGCCTAAATCAGTACGTTTCGTGTCTGACTGATGTAGGGAAAATCGCACCGCACGCTTGCAGAAACACCCACCGTTTGGCCGTTAAAATAGATGAGGCTACATATCAGATTGTTCCAACAAAATAATTAATAGAAAACATCGTTATCAGAACCCGAGCAGAGCAGAAATTGAACCAGAACATCTGACGGAAGAACAAGCAGATACAGCGAGGAGCGGCGTTTGTGGGTGGTAATGAGAAGGATTGAGAAAAGTGCAACGCAGATGAAACGTTTAATGTAACTAACAGGTGTCGATAGAAAATATTACAATGTTACGTGTTTAAGTGAATCACCTATGTTAGAGACCCATTTGTGTCTATGACGTCATCGTGGTCCGTGAGCTCCGGAAGCTTTTACAAATAAACCCCCTAGAAGCACTAAAACTAGTTTTAGGAAATTCATATGATGGTATCTGTGGACACAACTGCACCACAATCCACTTCCAGGATCTTAAAAACGACTAAAAAGTTACTGCTCCAGTTTTCTCTCATCAACTTTATGACGAGAAGCTTCACAGCTCATGAACTCTGGTCAGGACGTGTCTGACCACTCCTGATTTTAACGGTGTCTGCTATTACGTCCTTTAGCAAGGTGATTATAATCGCTCTAATTAATTGTCCGGCTGTATAAAGCCGTGAAGATGCCAGTTGCTTTGGATAAAAGCATGGAGCTAATCAGACATTTTAAAGCTTCCCGTTTCGCCACGGAACTCCTTTATTGAGAACATCTGGCTTCTATGAAATAACATGCAACTCTCAATTTTATTTTGTATAACCGCAGTGAAAACATCTGCTTACAGGCAGATTATTAAATTAACTGGAAATCGGTCTCCCCCTAGTGGTGAATATGAGATACAATCCCTGGGTTGTTTAATTGCTGTACGTTAAGCCGGAAAGCACCGGCTGCCGCAGCATTTTTCTATATGAACGCCCACGTGCAAAAAAAACGGGTTGCAGCGAAAGGATAAAAGAGTGCAGCTGTTGTTGTGAATGTCCCACCTCATTCTTTTTTGCTGACTACTTATTGTAATTTACAGTAAAGCCATTTTTGTTTTTTGTTTTTTTTTTGCTCAGAGATTTCATTGCCGTGACGCCTCTAACGCCAGGCTCATTAAACATCAACCACTTTATGGGCTAAACTTTAAGCTGTTAATTAATTTTGCTGGGTGGGCTGGTGATAAAATGTATCTATCTTGAGTGTCTGGGGCAGGGGTCTCCAACTCCGGTCCTGGAGAGCTACCGTCCAGTAGGTTTTCTATCATACCTGGCTTCTGATGAGCCACACCTGTTCTCAGGTAAATACCAGGAGCAGGTGTGGCTCATCAGAAGCCAAGTGGGACAGAAAACNATCATACCTGGCTTCTGATGAGCCACACCTGTTCTCAGGTAAATACCAGGAGCAGGTGTGGCTCATCAGAAGCCAAGTGGGACAGAAAACCTACTGGATAGTAGTTCTCCAGGACCGGAGTTGGAGACCCCTGGTCTGGGGATACCTCTGGGGGGGGGTTGGGGTCTGGAAAGGCTATCATGTGTAACAGAATGTGGTCATTGCCCCTGGAAAGCCTGTCAGGAAGCAGATTGGATCTGAAGCTCCGTTAATTGGCTGACAAATCTTCTGCAGTCTGTCCTTCGCAAGCTCTCACCTGATGTTACCCGAGAAGAAGTCGAGACAGATCTCGAAACTCTTCTAAGACGCCAAAAACATGGTGTGATGCAGTACGGATCACAAGGAGCCCGACTTTGACTTGTGTTCAAGGCCGTAACTTTGGGTGGAACATTGGGGGGGTTGAGGTCTCCACCCATTACGGGGGAAACATGGTTATTTGGGGGGTTGTATTAGCTGGTTTTGATTTATCCCCCCCCCCCCGTAATTTACGCCTATGCTTGTGTTGGCAAAAGTCCAAAAACAAGGGGCATAGAATGAGGTTATTTTTATGGAACGACTGTTCAGTTGTTTATAAGATCAGAACATTCTCTCAGTTGTTTTGTGTGTAACCCTTTAAAAAAAAATGGCCGCCGTCTCTTTTGTGAAACTGCATTCTGTGAAAGATTTTGACCTCTGATCCAGTCATTTACAGTACAATTTTAACTCCTTGATTAACAGCAGAGTATAAAGTCCACTCGGGGGGATCATTAACCTGCCTAATCTGGCTCGTCTTCTCCCATGAAGGCACCGTGGGGGGGGTAATGTGCTGTCTTTCTAGGAAAGAGTGCAGAGAAGCACGTTGGGCCTCCAGTCAGTATCAGGAGCAGAGTCGACCAGACATGATTCACGAGGACAGACATGCAGACGCACACCACAAGGTAATCACACTGTCGGGGATGCCAGAACTTCTCTGCGATGGGACTTTGTGTTACTGCAAGCTGCCATCAATTTGCAGCTCGACCTATGGGCTGTCAGTAGTAGAGTCTCTGCTCATTAATGAGCTCATTTTGGCTGTCTTACCGTGCCTGTGCTGTCTTTGTTGGTGCCAAGTTAGGTGCTACGTTGTCTGTAATGCAGTGCAAATTCTGCGTGGGCTTTAATTCAGTCCCTGTTTCACCGGATACTCCATTTGTTACCGTTTGTGCTGTGTGCTGGTGGTTTGAGGGTTAGCATTTTGGCAGGATCCAGCTGTGAAGCTCCTTTAGATGTCTCCACATAAATCTGGACATGAGTCGTTGTGTCTGGAGTCCTGCCTGGTGGGGTTTCATTGTGCGAGAACCACCAGGACAAGCGCACAGAGGGAATCTCAGTGATGTTGGCAGCCATGGGAACGTAATGCTGGGCGACGCTGAACTGTCATTGAGCGACCAATCGCTTGGGCAAGAAAAGCTTTGTCAGATGGGTCTTCTTCGGGGTGGGCAGGAGGCGGTGCCCTTGCAGGCAGCTGGGAAGTGCGGCAGATGTGTGTTGGACCAAAGAGTGTGGAATGTGAAGGCAGTGTCTGCTCCCTGAGAGTGTTTCTGTCATTCCGTAGTCTGAGGAAGTGGAACCTCCTCTTGAAGAACAACCACAGGGCTTTGGGATGATCTACAAGATAGAAGATGTGCCTCCCTGGTACCTATGCATCCTGCTTGGGCTACAGGTACACACACACACACACAGACACACACACACACACACAGACACACACACACAAAGCTTGTATTCATGGCTCTGTGGGGACCATCCATTCATTTCTATGGGCATAATCCTAATCCCAACAATCACAACCTTAACCATAAGTAACCAAACAAAATACAAGACTTTCAGCATTTTTAGTTTTTTGCTTGCAGCTGCAGATTTTTATAAAATTGAGTTTTCCCTTGTGGGGACCGACGCCACAACGTCAAAATAACATGGGGACATTTGGTCCCCACAATGTAATATATACAGCACAGTCTTCATTAACATAATAATCACCTACTGCTTGCTTCTCGTTATCATTCAGTTTTATTGCACAGACCACGCAGTGTCACCGCGACACAACTGATACCTGACCATCGTGGAAAGAATCAGAACCAGGTTTATTAGCCAGGTATATATTCACACACATAGGAGATATTTATCCGGTTGTCAGTTTTTTGTCATTATGTTTCAAAGATTACGGCGCAAATATTGACGGTAATGCTTATAAACAAAGAGTGTTACAAATATCGTGCATTGGAAGATGAAATAAACAACTGGAGCAACAGTTGAGTAAAGTTGCCGACGCCGTGCCTAGCAGCCACTGTGTTCCGTGTGTCCCCAGCACTACCTGACCTGCTTCAGTGGCACCATCGCGGTGCCGTTCCTGCTGGCTGAGGCCATGTGCGTGGGACGGGACCAGTACTCCATCAGCCAGCTGGTGGGAACCATTTTCACCTGTGTGGGCATCACCACGCTAATCCAGACCACGCTGGGAGTCAGGTGTGGCCACCCCCGCCCACGCTGCTCTGTCCCTGCCCACGCTGCTGTGTCCCCGCCCACGCTGCTCTGTCCCCGCCCACGCCGCTCTGTCCCCGCCCACGCCGCTCTGTCCCCGCCCACGCCGCTCTGTCCCCGCCCACGCCGCTCTGTCCCCGCCCTCGCTGCTCTGTCCCCGCCCACGCCGCTCTGTCCCCGCCCACACTGCTCTGTCCCCGCCCACACTGCTTTGTCCCCACCCACGCTGCTCTGGCCCCGCCCCGATCCTGAAGCCGCTTTGTGATTGGCTCTCTCCATCTCTTCCCTCCAGGTTGCCGCTTTTTCAGGCCAGCGCTTTCGCCTTCCTTATCCCTGCTCAGGCCATCATGGGCCTTGACAGGTGGAAGTGTCCCCCGGATGGTATGTACCCATAATCCTTTGAGGCGGCGCACTTCCGACAGGATCTGCATGATCTCCTCCGCCATCAGGCCCTGTTTTTATGGCCCTATTCAGTACTCCATTGATTTCTGTGAGCGGGTTCCATCGTCTTAGCAGTACCATAACGTTACCATAGCGATAGCTACTGATTTAGCTACCGATGCTAGTGCTTAGAATGGTGAGGCCCAGTTCTGCAGTTCTGTCTTCCATTACAATAACATGGGCAAGAGGCAGCTTTTAACCACGACAGCTTCTGGCCATAACGAGACACGGGACTCCCTCTCTGACTCTCTCTGACTCCACACGACTTTGACTCCTTCATGTCGCAGAGGAGGTGTACGGCAACTGGAGTCTGCCCCTGAACACCTCTCACGTCTGGCACCCCCGGATCAGGGAGGTACGCCTGCGTGTCTGTGCGTCCAGCTGACCACCACGTGGAGCCAATCTGCCGCCATGACGACTGGCCCTCTACCCCCCCGCAGATCCAGGGCGCCATCATGGTGTCCAGCGTGGTGGAGGTCCTCATCGGCCTAGTCGGTCTCCCCGGGATCCTGCTTAACTACATCGGGCCCCTGACTGTCACCCCTACGGTGTCTCTCATCGGCCTCTCCGTCTTCCAGACAGCCGGAGAACGTGCTGGAACACACTGGGGCCTCTCCTTACTGTGAGACCCTAACCCCTCACACCTCTCCCTCTACCCCCTCCCTTTCTCCAGATCCTCTCCCCCTCTTTTCCTCCTTCCACCTCTCCATCTTTCTTCCCCTACATTTTCCTGTCATCTTACATTTTTCCTCCAGCTCCGTTTATGTCATGTCCGGGTTCCTTTGGTTCCCCCGTCCCACATCCTGGTCCGCACCCCTAGAAAATGTGTTCATTTAATTATTTTCACAGATGCCTGTCCAACTCATTCATTTTTTTTCCCTCCCCAGGTGTATTTTCCTAATCGTGGCTTTTGCCCAGTATCTCAGAAACTGGTCCCTCCCTATCCCCATCTACACCAGGAGGAAAGGTTGCACCACTGCCAAGGTCCAGATCTTCAAGATGTTTCCGGTCAGAACCCCCCCCCCCC